TCAGGGTTGAACTAATTATAGTATGCTCATAAAATAACTCAACATTCTGCCGTGAAGTGAACGACCAGACAAACACAAACGTTGGTTTTTATTCCTGTACATATTTGTAAAGATAAATATATATATATATATTTATATATATATGTATTTTTGTTTTGAGTTACACTCTGTAAATATATATATGCAGCAGTTTTGTATGGTTTAAAAACTTCATTTAAGTTATGTAAGTTTTATATATGCACTGAATAAAACCTTTGGATTTTGTTTCTCTTTATATATTTCTCTATGTTGAACTTTTTTTTCCTGGGGGGCTGGTGGGGGGGAGGGGTTCAGGTCAGTCTTGTTCAGAAGGTACAGTCAGTCTGTCGTTCTGTCACTGAAACTTAGAGAAGTTCTTGACAAACTCTCGTTAATACCAACGTGAGGAAGAGGAGGAGACGCAGCGACGATGAGCTGCGATGGTTTAAAGAGTCGCTGACAAACTGGCAGCTCGGCTGAAAACCACCTCAGGAACTGGTGGTTCTGCAGAAGCAGCAGCAAAACTTGACACTCGTTTACCGTAACGAAACCACGTGTGGGTGTTTGGGTCTTGGAACTGCCCCAACACTGCCTTCCTACCACACCATCAGGGTGCAGAGGTTGACAACACGGTTCTTTTTCACAGTGGGAGGAGGTTTCACTTCAACACTGGGGTTGGGGGCTCATTTGAAATAAATTAAACAACTGAACAATGTTTCACTTAAACCAACAGTATAAGAGCAGTGGTAATATTGAACCATGTTAGGACTTAAAGGGAAAATAATAAAACATTTTTATTTGGGTTAACAAATAAATGTGCGGCGGGTGAGTTGAATTAATTGTTATCTTAACTAACTAATAATCATTTTGAAGAAACCAACTAATGACCTAAGGCTCAGTGGGAGAGACTGTAGAGACGCGTCTGTGGCAGTCACTACGGTGACCCAACAGTGCCATCTAGTGACGAACAATCGCTCCAGCAAGGACGTAATAACAAGTATAATTTGGAAAAATCATGGAGTTTAATACATGTGTAGTGAACCATAAAAGTATAAACAGTAGAAAACAAATAAATGAACACACACACACATACACACACAGTGACCAATGTATTCTGAGTGTGTGTGTGTGTGTGTCTACCACTCAGTGCTGACAAAGTCCCACAGGTGATCGCTGACGCTGCACCGACTCTGAGCTGACGTGTCCATGTTGATGGGCGTGGCCAGATCTTTACCATAGTGAACTGTAGAAGAAGAAACGAAGACAACGATGGAATTAAAGCAGAACACACACACACACACACACACAACTAGGCCGTACCTCCTCTCAGGGTGTGTGGGGGGGTGTCGTATTCCCACTTGATCTTGGTGATGAGGTGGTACAGTTTGGCCACGTAGCTGTGAAATTAAATTAAATTCAAATATAAAATGTTAGATTACATCAAAATACACTCCACAACTTTCACTTCATCAACTGTCATTTCTTCACTCGTCGTCATCATCATCATCAAAAAGGTGGCGTAAAAAGAAGAAGGAAGTTTCCAGCGGTCAACGAAACCCATTTATGACCAAAGTCAGAGGAGTGACACTCACACTGCTGAGGGGATGACCTCTGTGGTGTCTTCATCCACCTCACTCTGAAGAGCCTCCAGCTGAGCTTCACTTCTCCTGAGATTCTCCAACTCTGCCTTCAGCAGACTGTGAGCGAGTCAAGGATGGTGACGTGGGAAACAGTCTACGTGTCTACGTGTCAACGTCTGACCTCTGACCTCTGAACCACAGACACCAAACATTAGGATACTCTATCTCGGAGTCGGAGATCTGGCTCTTGGCTATGCACTGTCTCAGCTGCTCCTCCAGGTTCTTCAGCTCCTGCTCCCTTTGCTGCTTCTCCTCCTCCAAGTCCAGCAGCTGCTGACCAACAGTCTCCTCAATCTGAGTGGCTTCTGTGAGTCAGTGAAGGGAAGAGAAACAGGAAACCATGTAAGCTTTGAAGTACAGCAAACACATCTGTCTGTCTGTGTGTGTGTGTGTGTGTGTGTGTGTGTGTGTGTGTGGACTTCCTGCTCAGGCGATGAAACTCCACTTGCCATTTAAAATGTGTGTCACCACCTTCTTGGTTTCTACATGGAGCTCAAACAGAGCCTGCTGTTCACTTCTGATCTCCTTGACCTTCTCCGTTTGGCTGCTGTTGATGTACTCCAGCAGAGCCTCTCCCATCTCCTCCAGGTCCTGGAACTTTTGACCTTGAGCCATAGCTGCAGCACGACAGGCTAAAAGCACAAAAACAACACGTGTCATTGGAGGCGGTTGTTTTACGTCATTATTGACGACCATCAAGAACCAATCAGCTCACAACGTCATCTTAACAATCAAACATAAAAAGAATACACGTCACATGACTTTAGTCACAGGTGAAAATGCTGTCACAGCAGGATCTGTTTGACTCAGTTCACATCAATCAATCAGTCATCAATCAATCAGTCATGAATCAATCAGTCATATGGTACTAATAATTGGCAGAACCTTTTCTTTTGGTGTTTTGGTTTTTTTCGGCCTTGATTTCTGCCAACAGTTTTAATTTCGGTGCATCCATAGTATAAACCCATTCTTGTTGTTGTTCTTGTTGTTGTTGTGTCAACACACACTGTTGGTGCTGTCTATCATTATTTCACAACAAAAATGTCCTAAAAATTCAATAAAACTAATGAATTTTCTTTATTTAGAAATGTTAACCTGTAAACATGACAAAAACACATCTTCAAAGACTTTAATAAAACCGATTCGTTGATCTCTGCAGTTAAATACAATAACATCTGGTCTGGAGTCACAGAACAACCATCTCGAACCGTTCACTTCAACAGAACTACAACAAGTACCGAACCATTCGTTACCGGACGTGTGTCCTGATCAAATGGTCCAAACGGTCCGTCCTCACAGACTGTCCAAACGGACCGTCCTCACAGACTGTCCAAACGGTTCCAAGTAAAGACACTAAACCACCATTAAAATCTTTCACAAAAATATGTATTTATTTGACGGTGAAGGCAACACTTCTGCTGTCGAGTGTACGTGACGTTGTTTACGTTAAGTACGTCACAAATGTGGTTCAAATGTTAAACGATAAACGCCAACATTCACATGGTAAATATTTAAAACTAATTTCTTCACCGTCGAATTCAATTATATTGAAAAAGAAAAATACCTGAAAGTTCGTTACCGGGATTCAAACAGTCCTGAGAACGCGCCGTTTCCTTCTTCTTCTTCTTCTCTTTGATCGTTGCACTTCCTGCAGTTTTTCATGTCACAGCGCCCCCTCTGACCATCCGCATGCTTTCATATGCACAAGCTGTTGAACGACGTCACAGTGTGTTCTCTCCAAGTACATTCAAATACAGCGACACAAGCTAGCATCTTAGCATGTGTTGTGAGGATTATTTCTCCCGTTTATTACACCGTACAACGAGATAAAACGAGAATTAGAAAAATAATGAATTTATTAAAAACATTTTTTCCTATTTTAGTCTAATTTCTGTTGATGGACCCAGCAAAAATGTAGAAAAAAGACATTTTTACTTGTAACGTTTCAAAAACTGTACGTGTTAAGAATGAAGGAAGGAAGGAAGGAACTTTGTTCATCTGAGGAGAAGTACTCACTGATACTAACATGTACTCAGTCCAGGGTCAATCACAACAAACCTCAGGGTCAGGGTGTAGGACGTACTGCGTCATCCGTCAGTGGTCCGTCACACAGTGAACCAATGAGCAGCAGGTGACCAGGGAGCAGATTTGTCAAAGTTTTATTTCAGTTTGTAAATTGTACACAGTACAAAACAACAACATCTGTTTCAGTTTTTATTGGAGACAAAAATCAAACTCATTCTTCACTCCTGTTTTTTACGCTTTTCCTCTTTTTCCCGTGTCTTCCGTCTCTCTCTGCCTTTCTGTCTGAAGTAGAGTCTCTTAGGGTTCAGACCGTAGGCCTTCAGTCGCTGTCTGCTGAACTCCCTCCCCCCTATCGTCACCCCCATCAGTCCTGACAGGAGGCGTCCCCCTGACCTCCTCTGCTTCTTCTTGGACCAGTTTGGTTTCTCCGTCCTGGTTTCCACTCGGTCTGCTTTTCCTGCTGCTTCGCCAGGGGGCGCCTGCTGCCGTTGGTCCGACTCCCGTTTCAGTCTTTTCTTGGGGATAAGAAACTCCTCTTCCTCCTCGTCTCCCGCCTCTTTAAGAGCCTCATCTGACGAGTGCGTGGCAGCAGCTCCGTCCTCGCCTCCAGCTCCTCCTCGTTTCTCAGCATCCTTCTGACCATCTCTCTTCTTCTTGCCGACGTGGTTCTTGGAGTCGCCCGGCTCTTCATCTGGCCTGTAAATAAAAGTCAGTCTTAGATCAGCACATAGGACACGAGGACACCAGATTCACCAGGACCAGGTCTCATCTGGCTTCTCTCACCCAGAGTAGACGGAGCCGAGGATCTCTCTCTTCTTCCTGTCGTTCTGGGCTTTGATCTGATAGTTTTTCACATCACTTCTCTCTTCCTTTTCAGACCTGAGGAGTAGGAAAGGCTGAAGGTTTGATTGTGGTGAAGGAGCAGAGAAAAGGTCAGGACTGTAAAGGTCAAAGGTCGTACCTGAACATGCAGGTCTTCTTCAGAGAACACCAGCGGTTCAACTCTTTGTCATCTGCACCTAAAATCTAATAAAGGAATAATTTGAGACTTTCAGCCTGTTATGATTGTGTGTGTGTGTGTGTGTGTGTGTGTGTGTGTGTTCTGCTCAGAGAGAAGATTCAAACTGACATCATTCTCTGGTCACAGTTTCCCTGGAAGGAAGCAGTACCAGATCATTCACCTCGAGGCTCATCACTGCAGTAATACTCCGTACAAAACTGTAACAACAGTCATTGACACTTGTACCATCAACTCACCACTGGTCTCTGCTGGTCCACTGGTGTGGTCAAGTTCAGGGGTCTGGTTCTTGAAGCGGGCTCACAAAACTCTGAGTTAAAGTCTCAGCTCTGAAGACAGAGAGGTCCAACTCTGACTTCCTGGTTTCACAACAGCTGATTACAGTTAGCTCACTGAAGCCTGAGTTCAGTTAAGCCTGAGTTCAGTTAAGTCTGAGTTCAGTTAAGCCTGAGTTCAGTTAAGTCTGAGTTCAGTTAAGCCTGAGTTCAGTTAAGTCTGAGTTCAGTTAAGTCTGAGT